TCTGCGAGGATAAATCCGTGCGACCAAACCGCCCTGGTGTGAATGGGGTCTTAAAGGAGCAGTTAACCTTTGTAGTGCAGGAACAGCCCAACTCCAAAGGCAGTTATCTTTTCCTGGAGATATGCTTTAAAGACAAGCCCCATAATTGTGCATTGATAACAATGTAGTCACATATGAACGCATCATGTATGTACAGATAATCACGCAGAGTATGAATAAGTATACATATATTATAAAACCCTATTTGTTATATATACACATAGGTGAACAATACTATTATACACATGTGCTTACACAGCTAGTAATGTACAGACAATATAAAAGAGTGCTTATAACCTATTAAAATGACCTGCCAGCCCTCTGCTGACGAGGGCGACTGAAGTAAGTACTGCAACATGTAAAAGGACCTGTCATCCAGTCTGGCGGACATTTTTTCCCCCAAGAGCGTGATCAAAAATCAACCTCTTCCCTAAAACGAGCTTGTATGGGTGACAGGTCCACTTAAATTAGTGGTTTTCCCTTTCCGAGTACATAAAGCATCTGACAGCGCTGGAACTGAATTAACTATTAAATGCACTAAAAGGCACCTACTTCCAGCACAGACTGAAGGAGGCCATTTTGTCAGGGGCCTATGACAGTGCTGAGGTAATGCCTACAAAATGTCCGCCTGCGCAGTGTGAAAGACGTATGTTCAACAGCGAGATTAAAAAAAAGCAAGGCCTTCATCTGAGTTCCTGTTTGAGATACATAAAACAAATACGCTGAACACACATAAAACAAAGCGCCGTGCTCGACGTCTGTGTACCGAGCGACATCTGTCTGCACACACTCTGCTAGTCCTTATAGAATAGTCAGGCTACGCCAGGGATGGGCAACACCGGCCCTCCAGCTGTGGTGGAACTACAAGTCCCATGAGGCATTGCAAGACTGACAGCCAAAGGAATGACTCCGGGAGGCAGAGGCTTGTTGGCATTTGTAGGAGGGCCGGAGTTGCCCGACGTTATAATGGGCTGAAAGAGAATAGAAAGCAGGACTGTCTGTAATGGGGCAATCAGAATTCCGTACTTCAATCAAGTCAATGCGAGTCTGCCTGGGGTGATCTCAAGTTAATTCGGGAGAGGGCCCCATAGAAATCTACGGGGTTGTAATGTGTAGACGCGGGCAGGACTCTGAAGTCTTGTGGCGTTTGATGTAAACAGCAGAATGGCAGCCATTGGATCAAGATAAATGAGCATGGGGTAGGGGGGGAGATAGGTCAGGGAAGGGCAACTTTTTACAAGTGAACGGTTTGTTTGCAAATGGCTGCATAAAGCTATTCGTGTTAGGGAGCAGGCAAGGAAGGGGACCTTCTGTTTGCCATGGGGGGAGGGTCTGCTTTAAAATGCACTTATCCTTCAAAAACACCTTTTCTGGCAGAGTGCTGGAAGGTTCAAGCGGACCTTTCCCCATATCTTTAAAATAACAATCTACAATCACATGCTTCTAGATAATTGCCGCCTTTGTATTCTTTGTATATCTGATTTCTCTTTTCTTCCCCAGTCTTCTCACAGTGGACATGTTTACTAAGGGCAGATTACTCGCTCTCCTTTTACTTCTTGGATTTCTGGCACATGTGACTAGGACATGTGACCATGCACATCATCTAAGGGGAGGAAAATGCCTTTCCCTGAGATCTCAGATGAGATTTCCCAGCAATGCTCTGCTGATGACAAGACAATCCCAGTGTGCATTGCGTTGGCAGGCTGAAGTCATTTTACCCTTTCAGAGCAGGAAGTGAATGCTCTGCAAGTGTAAGTATTTCACAATCACAGCATTTTACACCTGACATGTCTATGGTATTATTAATCATCATACATAGAGGCATGTATTGGTAGAAGTCGAGTGTAAAGGTCTGCTTTAAAACCTTTGTCTGTATTGCATTGTACAATTATGTACAATGGAAAAAAAATCCTTTACTTCCTGTACCACTAACAGGAAGCAAGAGGAAATCTCCCCACTGGGGACATAGATATGGATACATTTTGACAGAGGTTCTTGATGAACCGGATGAAATTTGCTCAGTGGGAGCAACCCTTCCAGCCAACATCCCTCGATCAGAAGATCAAAGAAGCCGGATGAAAAATCTTCAGCTGATCAGCTGTTTGGATATTTTGACAGCAGCCGGCATCCGCTGTCAGAAAACAAAGCAAAACAGGAGATTCCTCCGTCCACGCTCGTAGGTTTTGATGGAGGAATCTGTTAAATTTTCTTTGTTGAGAAAATAAAACAGTGTATGGGCAGCATAACTCATCTCTGTTCTCTGTTCATCTAACCAAAACTGGATCAAAAAGTATCTTATATATATATATATATATATATACACACACAGGGGCGTCCCGAAGCTGGGTAACACCCGGAGCGGTAGCCGAGTGGCAGTGTTCTGATACCTGCCGGCGGCCATCTTGGTGATGGACGTCGGCAGAGAGAGGAGGGGACAGTCACCCGGCGTGATAAGGTATCCCTCCTCTCTCCTGATACTGTCGGGCATTCGGTCCATGCGCCCGCCTTTTCAGAGGGGGGTGACACCAAAATGACTGAGTCATTTTATTGTCACCCCTCCAATGATGTCACCCGGGTGCGGGCCGCACCCTCCTTGTGACGCCAATCAATCAGTCTTGCACAGATGTACCGGCTCCTCTCCTGCACTGAAATTGCTTCCTCTGATATCACTGCACACTGTGAGCTTCTTGCATTAGAAGCTGCAGCACGTCAGATACAGCCCGCCTCATTTCCTGGCTGCAGGACGTCCAGCATCATCATCTAGCTCTTTCCTCCCCAGCCTGCCTGGGCCTGGCCTGCCCCCTTCATTCATTGGATATCGGCACTGTCAATCAAGCAGGTGTTACCTTGGGTGATCTGCATGCAAATACAGTTTGCTTAGGTACGCCCACTCCTCTAGACCAACACCCACCATGAAGGCATTTTGAGATTTGAATAACTCCTCCATAGAGTCAGCCCACTGCATGCATCACGGCTGAGGGCTCTTGGGAGGAGTACTAAGGCAGGGTACTGTGATGTTTTTAGGAAGCCATGTACAGCCCCTCCCACCAGCTGATTTGCCTGCATTGTATAGAGATGCAATGAGACCCAGTGATGACATGGGACTAAATTAGGGTATGTCATGAAAAAGGAATGGTTTTATTTAAACATCTTTGTTGACCAGGAAAGGAAAAAAAAGCAGATTGAAGGTAAGGATGCATCAGGAACGGGGAGGGTAGGTTTATGTGGATCAGGGGAGCTAGGCAGTTAGGATATACAGCAGCACTGACTTGATTGAAGAGTCTATACTAGCCAATGCAATAGAAGTGCACATTCCTAAAAACTGGGGCACATGGGACTGTCCTCCACAGGAACAACTTGCCTGTTTGCTATGGGTTTTTTTTTCATGCCCTAGTCATGTGACCAGACTTTTTTTCCTGAATTCCTGAATCTTAACACATTCCAAACAAAAATCTGAATAAAATTAAGAAATCTTATAAATAAAAAAAAATGTACTTTTTTGTTTTGATAAAAGTAAACAGTTGAGGAAAGGAAAACACGCACACATATATAAATACAGAGATGGAATGTAAAATGATAAATACAGAGATGAACAGGATATATACACGTCACATACAATAAATGTACACAGGCAAAATAAACACACTACAGCTAAAAGTCTGCTGCCAGATAAGCATTTGCGTGGCGAGTGAACCGATATTCAAACAGTGGAGGCCGCCATATTGTAAAGCGGACCAATATTCAAACACTGGAATCCGCCATATTGTAAAGTGGACCAATATTCAAACGGTGGACGTCACCATGCTGTAAATTAGACCAATATTCAAACGGTGGGAGCCGCCATGTTGTAAAGTAGACTAATATTCAAACAGTGGACGCCACCGTGTTGTAAAATGGACCAATATTCAAACAGTGGGAGCCGCCATGTTGTAAAGTAGACTAATATTCAAACAGTGAACGCCGCCATGTTCTATAGTGAATCAGACGTCACATTAACAAATCACCGTAGGAAGCCATTGTGTGGACTAGCAGCTTTCATAGTGGTAGTAGAATTCAGGCAAAGGTCAGGTATAAATGTGACAACACACAGTGGGCTGTATTTATGGAAATGCTGAGGGAAGAAGAGACAGTCTGCACCGCTCACAATAGTCACTTAAATTTTCCTTCCTTTCCTCGTTCTTCCTACCATATGATTCCTTGTGATTTTATAAACCTTTGTGAACAGAATATCAATATCATGTTGTATCTAAGTTACATAATAATATCTAGGTATATTATGGGCTGGACATCCTTAAAAACACCTTTTTAAGTGGAGCTCTCTTACATTATTGTATGCTATCTTATTTCTCAGCCCTGGTGAAAGGGGAGTATTGAGGCTCCGAAACGTGTAGGCCACACATTATATCTGTGGCACTCTTATCCTTTTCACATTCTTTAGCTTACTTCGGGGACCCCCAAGGATACCTGACAAAGAGCTGCCTCTAAAATGTTAATGAAAGGTCTTATGCCTCCTACGTTGGGTCTACCAACATGTCAATCATCAAAATAATGTAGACATTTTAACTACAGACAGAGACAACTATTCCCTTACAAATACAATAACTGAAGACGTGTGTTCCCTGTCTAGCAGAAAGAACGGTGTCCAGGATGACCCCCTGATTGGCTGGCTCTTACCGAACATCACTCCTCCAAGCACCTTCAGCAGAGTCCATGTGACCAATGCCTGGGTGCAGGTCATGTGACCTCCTTCCACAAAAGAAACAAGTGCATAGGATTTAAGCAGGAAGGAAATATTTAACACCTCTTCCTTGTTTTCAAATAGAATACCAGCCGATGCAATTTTGTTTTAGTTTTGGACAGAGCGGGGGAGGGTCACAACGTCTATTACGCTGTTATTGGTGTCTGTCCCCAATGGAAGGATGTGATCAGGACAGGAAGGGAAAATCCACCCCCAATGGGGACATAGGCAGCAATGAAAGCTGAACAAGGGATTTAGTCCCTCTCCCCACTCTATCCAAGATAAAACCAAACAATGTGGCTGGAGATCCACTTCAATGACTCAGCGGGCAATTTACCCAAAAGCACCTTATATGTTTAGCAAGTCCTTCACCAAATCCCAATCTCAGCATGTGCACCATACTTCTCAGTGATCGCACTGATGACTGCTGGTGGCATCTCGGACTAATCACAATGAAAGCAGCGTGGGACTGGAGTGAGCAGTGGTGTTATATGTGGACGGGTATTGCACGTGATGCAGATGTTTATTTTGCCTTTCAGGCTCCAATCTCTCGATCGGTCGCTGCGCTCTTCCCCAGTGTCCTCTCCAGTTTGCGGTGTTTGCGGGGAGCAGAAGAAGGTGGAGCCGGGGGCTCTTCTCGCAGGACTTGCCGGATGCGTTGGACGCATACCGCTGTGGCGGCTCGGGTCTCTGGCGACAGCTGTGATAGGCTGAGGAATCCATGAGGGAGATCTTCTACTACCTTCAGGGTGACTGGGCGGTTCAGAGAGCGGAGTCTCTTCGCAAACATCACAGAGTCATCCAACATTGGGTCAAGTGCACAGGCCTGCATGGAAAAAAAAAAAGGCTGCCATGAAAATAGGCATCAGACAAGCAATATGAAACTATTGAAATTAGGGATGCGCCGATTCCGGTTTTTCGGCAAGTCCCATTAAGGAAGCCAGGCGGCGTGTTAAGACTTGCCACCCGGCTTTCCGATTAGTAGGGAAGCCGTCTCCATGATTCCTCGTCACCAAGTGCTTTCGGGCCAATCAAGAAACCAGACGGCTAGTCATTATACGGCGCTTGGCTTCCTGATTGACCGGGACGCCGTCTCAATGCTCCCTCGTCACCAGGTGATGAGGAAGCATGAAGCCGACTTTCTGGCCAGTCAGGAAGCCGAGGGCGGGTAATGACTCGCCGTCCGGCTTCCCGACCAATCAGCAAGCTAGGCGACAAGTCATTACACGCTGCCTGGCTTCTTGATTGGCCGGGAAGCCGGCTCCATGCTCCCTTGGTGACAAGGGAGCATGAAGCCGGCTTTCCGGCCAATCAGGAAGCCGGGCAGCATGTAACGACTCGCATGTATATTATTTTTTTTAAATTTAAATGACAGATATTAGCATCAGTTAGCAGCTGCAGTCATATCAAAGTCCCCATAATGTACTGAGCTTGGCCATTTCTTAGCTTCTGCAATATTGGCCCTCAAAGATGTATAAATGTCGGCTTTTGTAACCCCAGATTTTCAGTACATGTGACAGCTCTGAACACAATGACACAAAGGAATTCTTCCAAGACCTGCTCCAGTGGACCCCACCATTTAGCTCATGTTGGCACCTGTGGGCCATTGTGAGAAGAGTTGGGAAGGGCTCTCAAATGGTTGGCCACAGTGCTCACAAGGTACAAAGCCACTCTGATTGGCTCTGTGCATTTTTCCTGTGATCCAACCTGTCCAATGACAGCAGGTTTATAGTCATTGGGAGGTGGCATGCATTCCCTCTCTAGTGAACAACCTGCTGATCAGAACTGTAGGTCTCTTGACTAGTCTTTTTACTACAATGGCCGGTCAGGAGATGGCTTCAGTATTACACAGTTAGCAGAGCAGAGGGCACAGAAGTAAAATCAGAGCTGGATCATCCACAATGTACCCTAGGACCCAATAGAAGTCCAGGTTGGGGGCAGCTACAACCTACATGCTCCACCATGCAGCATTAAACTGGGTAGATAACACAAGTGTTCAAGGTTGTGTTCCTGCTAGTCACTTTTATAAGGAAAGATGTACTTGTAGGCAATTGGTGTTGGATGGGGTGGCTTCTCTGTGTCTATGGTAATTCTTATCCAAGTCATTCAAAAGGGAAGGGTAAAGTTGTTACCTTGCTTGGTGCCCCATTCCTGATTGAATCTATCTCAGAGTAAAGAGCATAACACAACACTACTGAATAAAGTAAAAATGAAGGTACAAAGTACAGTAGGCCACAACAACCTATTATATTTTCCCCAATCGTACCACAATTAACTAAAATCTAATTGAACACCAGCAATGCTGTGTGCTGATGTAGCCAATTTGCGACACCACCTTATACTCACCACAATGTGAATGGGAGGAAGTCCTAGTAGCATACTGTCAGGAGCCAGCAGCGGGGACATGTACGGGTTGTCCACAATAGCAGAAGTCTGCAAAGTCATGTTAGCCACACCGTTTTTAGAGCGCAGAGGCTGGAATCCTTCTGGGAAGCCCAGCAGTTGAGAAGTGGTAGGGGAGTGTGGGGATGGTCTGTCCTCACCGGAGTGTGCAGGGGGAATGTTCTCTTTAGAGTGTGTAGAAGACTCTCTGTCAAAGGACTGGTCACCCTCACTCTCGCTCTCTGTCAAGAAGAAGTTGACGGCTTCCTTTGGGCTGCTGGGAGACAAGGGATCGCTGCCTCCTGACTGGATGGATAGTGAGGACGGTGAATGCGGACCATTCGCAGAGGAGGAGTTATGGGACTGCGCTTCTCTGTGTGCGTGTTTGTTCGGTGCTCCGTCTTCTCCATTCTGCTGGCTTGAAGTTCCAACTGCTAAATTGTTCTGCTCAATGTAATGATGGTGGTTCAGATCCTGGCAGGTTTTGCTCTTTAAAGACACCATGCGGTTAAGAAGAGAAGTCTCTTCCACCAGTGCTGCCTCAGATAAGCTCTTTCTCACCGTATCTGCAACAAAAATAATAAAATCACATTAGCTAGTGTTTTAGGACCTTAATTGGAGAAACACAAATACTTCTCCTCTGTAGTATTACAGCAGCAACGTGGTCACTCACACGGTTAATCTTTGACTGCTGTGAAGAGGCTAATGGCAATTTACATGGTCAGTTCACCCAAATGTAATAGTTCAGCTGTAGATGCAATCTGGTGGACTGAGTCACTTACAATATAGACAACAAGCACCCACCACCCCTCTAAGCGGAGAGTCTGACCTGGATTGGCTCTCTCCTTGCTCCCTTCCATTAGATTACTCAGCCAGGACGCTGCCCCTTGTCGGATGTCTCTGAGAAATAACGCGGTCCCTCGTTTTACTAGATTCACTGTACTCTGCTTTTCAACCACCCGATCGTCCACTGGGACTCGCTCTGTGCCTGCGTAAAAACAAACCGGTGAAAAAAAGGAAAATTAAAAAAAAAACATCAAGCTTTACTAGCAAGGCAAAAGGACAATGCCCAGTAACACATAGTAACCAATCACCAATGGTCTTTCTTTGTACTGACTTCCATAGGGCAATGAAGGGTAAAATCTGATTGGTTGCTATGGGTCAGGGTACGTTGTGCATTATCATTGATCTCTACATTGTCCTGAGTGAAAATAAGCACCTGCATAAGCGCCAAGGCACTTTGACAGCACACTGAGCGGCAGCAGCGGGTCCATCAGGGTTAAGAGGCGGGATGGAGATGCTGTGGCCTGTAATAACGTGGCTGGGTAGGCAACCATGATCCCATCTGGTAATCTAATCCCAACAGAAGCAGCGCGGAGTGACACAGTGATACAAAGGTTACCACCGGCACTGTCACCAGCGAGGCAGATCCTCTCTCCTGTGGAGCCTGAAAATGCAAAGGCACACAAATGTAACATATACATGACTTAGCTTCTATGTATTAAAAAGACAAATTTACTTTAGAAGAAGACAGGAAAGAACAGGCTAAGTATTCACATGCAGGGCATTTTTTTAATTATATTCTCAGTTTGAATTGGCCAGGTTTGTTTTAGGCATAATATAAAGCTGAACTCCGTGACATTGAAGAAATGGGCTTCCCCCACACTGCAAGGCGTAAAGGAGAACTATGGGGTTAGGGCTTTTCCCCATAGTTCTCCTAAGGGTCACGGGAGAACACAAACTAGCGTTCTCCCGTGACCCAAAGCTCAGTATACCGCGAGCTACAGCTCGCAGTATACTGAGACGCCGCAGCCGAAACGGATTCCGACAATTCTATCTGGATCCACCCAGCTGCGTGATTGACAGCTGGCTTTGCCTATCTAGAGGCAGAGCCAGCTGTGCCCGCCCCCACCCCCGCCCGTCCGATCCGCCAGTCAGCACTGGAGGATCGGACAGGGGAGGGGGGAAATCCCTGCAGGAAGCCGTGAGTGACAGTCACGGCTCTCTGCAGGGATAGATCGAGAAGTGAGCGAGCGACGGTATGTGTTCGCTCACTTCCCGATCTACTGAGCCGACCTGTGACAGTTTCATTGTCACACGTCGGCTCAGATTATGAGGCTGATTGAAAATCACCTGACTCATAATTCTCCTTTAAATGCTCGTTTTTGCCCAGGGTACTAGGAAAAGGTTTTCCATTATATTATCCCTCGCTCCCGCAAACCCCTCATTCTATGGGACTGGTCCCCCCCTAAGCCTCCTCTCTTTGGCACTCGCAGCTGTGATGCCCCCATGTACAATGCCGGACCAACAGCCCTGCACTGTAATGGAGGCCATCAAGGGCAGGCTAAGTCTCACCACAAGGGTAGTAAAAGTTCAGCGTTAAGAATTCAATCACTGCACAGTCGATATTAAAGTGACACTAAACTCAGGAGTTAGATATTAAAAAAATGCATTCAAGTACCTTAACTATTAACTAAAATGTATCTTATTTGTGTATCACTCAGCTGTAGTTCCTCAAATCCTCTCTGAATTGGTGCCAACACTGTCCTTCCTTCTGGAGGGTGGCTACTTTTGTTCCCCATGGTCCCTGTGTGTAGTCACCGCTCCAAGCTCACTTCCATGATGGACTACAATCTCACATTTAGTTTACTATAGTTTCAGCACACATTCAGAGATGATTTGAGGCTCTACAGCCGACTGATACACAAATAAGATACATTTTTGTTAATAGTTAAGGTACTTGAATGTATTTTCAAGATTTAAAGGAGAACTATGGGGGCAGTGAAATGCACTCATCCCCATAGTTAGAGGCACTGCAGCTGTCACACATTAGCTCAATAGACCGAGAACTGAGCGCTCACAAACCGCTGATCACTCAGTTCACGATCTTCTCCCTGCAAAGAGCAGCGACTGGCCTGAAGGGTTCCCCTCCCCCCCTCTCTTTCCGTTCCTCCAGCGCTGACTGGAGGGGCAGAGAAAGGAGGGGGCGGGCACAGCTGGCTCTAGAGAGGCAGAGCCAGCTGTCAATCAGGTAGCGGGGTGGATCTCGACAATATTGTCAGGGTCCTTCCCGGCTCTGAGCTGTCAGCATATAGCTGTCAGCAATAGCACAAGAGAACGAATGCCAAAAAAGGTTTGCCCATAGTTCTCTTTTAACTCGTGAGTTTAGCGTCACTTTAGGGCCCCATTCACACACGAATCGGCCTGCACGTACAGCTTCGTGTGGGGCTGTGCCAAGCAGCTGCCGGGAAGAACAGGTCCTGCGTGTGATTAGTACGCAGCCCCCGTCCTTCTCTATGGGGCTACACGGCCGTACGCCCCCCTACGCTGGCCTGCCCTGCACGTCCGTAGGGGTGCGGGTGAGCGTATTCATACACCGCCGGAATGGATCCTGTATGCGTTCCCCCCTCTCTTTCCGTTCCTCCAGCGCTGACTGGAGGGGCAGAGAAAGGAGGGGGCGGGCACAGCTGGCTCTAGAGAGGCAGAGCCAGCTGTCAATCAGGTAGCGGGGTGGATCTCGACAATATTGTCAGGGTCCTTCCCGGCTCTGAGCTGTCAGCATATAGCTGTCAGCAATAGCACAAGAGAACGAATGCCAAAAAAGGTTTGCCCATAGTTCTCTTTTAACTCGTGAGTTTAGCGTCACTTTAGGGCCCCATTCACACACGAATCGGCCTGCACGTACAGCTTCGTGTGGGGCTGTGCCAAGCAGCTGCCGGGAAGAACAGGTCCTGCGTGTGATTAGTACGCAGCCCCCGTCCTTCTCTATGGGGCTACACGGCCGTACGCCCCCCTACGCTGGCCTGCCCTGCACGTCCGTAGGGGTGCGGGTGAGCGTATTCATACACCGCCGGAATGGATCCTGTATGCGTCCCGGCCAGAAAACCCGCACCCCTACGGACCTGCAGTTGAGGTGAGCGCAGGGGGGCGTACGGCCGCGTAGCCCCATAGAGAAGGTCGAGGGGCTGCGTACTAATCACACGCAGCACCTGTCCTTCCCAGCAGCTGCTTGGTACGGCCCCGCACGCAGCTGTACGTGTCGGCCGATTCGTGTGTGAATGAGGCCTAAAGCTCTAGAAGAGGAGCCCAGGGCTACTCAGAACTTCTCTGAGGAATTTTATCACCCTGAGGACAATTCGGAAAACCCTTATGAAGAGTTAAAGTCGAAGGCTTGGCTGAGTTTAACATTTTAAACAAAGGGAGCTACAAATCAAGCTTCATCTGCTGCGCTGTCTGTTTGAATAACCCGTAGTGCTCAGGAAACCCTTTAACGTGTAATAAATGTTTAGTTGTAAAACAAAAAGCATACAAAATATAAATACAAAACTTTAAAAACGTAAAAATGAATACAAAAAAAAAAAACCTAAAAATAATTTTGACCCCCAAATCATTATAGTTTCTATTTAACCACAAATCCCATCAAATATGTTTTTTTGCAAATAGGTGTTGGATAGACTGGGGATGGGATACCGGAACAGGAAGTCAGGGAAATCCCTACCAATGGGGACACAGACAACAACAAAAACCTGAAACCTTCACCACTCAATACAAAGAAACAACAAGAACCGATATATTTTATATAAATATATATCTGAAGAGAAGCAAGCACTGACCCAGCAGCCGACAGTGTCTCAGCGCCCAGCAGTAAGCATAGAAACATTCTTCGAGAGCCCTTGGGAAAGGAGCCTCTGGGGCAAGAGAGTAATCCACAGACAAGATGGGCGCCTCAAGCTCTTGAGCCCAAGTCTTCAGGTAGGGCTCATGTGACTTTGAGGTCTGAGCTACAAACCCCCCACCGTGGAAATGGATGATCAGGTCTGGAGAGAGAGCGGCCGGGCGAGATCGGAGACGAAGGTCAAGGCTCAGAGGACCTTCGGGTTTGGTGAAGGAGTTTAGTTCTTCACTCTCCTAAAAAAGAACACAAGTGTGTTAAACGTATTGTCACAATTCAGATCATGATATAGATTTGAGTTAAAATGTATTCCTTTCTTATGTTTTTAGATGGGCTGAAAAACAACACTTGACATCCTGACCTGCATGTCCGCAGACTTAGACACAGAGGTACAGAAGACAGTTATTATTATTGAATATAAGCATCTGTAGGATGGGCAGGTCAATGCCAGCATGGGAAACTGTATATTAAAGCCATGGTTCTCAACTGGTTGGTCGTGACCCAAAAGGGGGTCGCGACCCCGTATTCAGTGGTTGGCTGCGTGCTTTTCACTTTTCTAGTTGAGAGGCTCCTCAGCCTTCCCCTAGCGCAGCACTGTCAGTTCTCAGGCCAAGTAGCCATTTGAAATATGCTGCCCAGTGCCGAGTGTCAGCATGAGGTGGAGTGGGCTGGGGCTATGCCCGCGAGGGAGCTCCATCCATACGTGCATTGCTTACAGCTCCATCGCATGTCCTGTAGAAGTGCCTGGACCTGAATGACATCACATTGTGGCTTCCGGCACATAAACAGGGCGCACAAGAGAGCTGTACAAGCAATGCACATATGGATGGAGCTCCGTCACAGCACAGCAGCCCAAGCTGGACCCCAGGCTGAGGATCCACTCCAGTTCTTGTAAGGTAGGGAGACTGGATGTTAAAAAAACATTTGAATTGTAGATGTGTGGTTGAGATTGTGTCTGTCAGTGTTTTTGAGAGTCCGTTCACACTAGTACAGTGTTTTAATCGAACAGTCCCGTGTGATTATCGCACTGTACCAAGCAATCGCACCTACTACGCGTTCTGGTGAGGGAGGTGTGTTGCATTTTTTGCTATTCATTTGAATGGCACCCCAAACGCACCTCCCTCCCACAGTTCAATCCCCCGCACTGGAATGTGCGGAACCACAATGTGCAGTGCCTATCTGTTTTTGTAAATGTGAGCAGGTTAAAATGATGCAGTCTTGTGATTTAATGCATTTAAAGCCTTGTATCCATGTACAAGCTGTAATTATAATGCTCAGGGACTCTGTATAGGTAGGGCATCTTAAAAGGAGAACTATGGGGTCAGGGCTTTTCCCCATAGTTCTCCTTAGGGTAACGGGAGGACACAAACTAGCGTCCTCCCGTCACTCTAAGCTCAGTATACCGCGAGCTACAGCTCGTGGTATACTGAGACGCTGAAGCGGATCCCGACAATTGTGCCGGGATCCGCCCAGCTGCGTGAGTGACAGCTGGCTCTGCCTATCTAGAGGCAGAGCCAGCTGTACCCGCCCCGTCCGTTCTGCCAGTCAGTTCCATCCCCTCCCCTGTCACGGCAGAGAGCTGTGACAGGATCGAGAAGTGAGCGAACGCCGGTATGTGTTCGCTCACCTCCTGATCTCCTGAGCCGACCTGTGACAGTCTCATTGTCACAGATCGGCTAGAACTATGAGGTGAGTGAAAAGCACTCACCTCATAGTTCTCCTTTAAAGAAGAACTCCTGGCAGAAATTGTATTAACCCTTGCAGTGGGTCTACTTCGCACTGCAAGGGTTAACTGCTCATTTTTGCCAAGGATCAAAAAAAAAAAAAAGAATTTATACTTAGCTGAGCCTTGGAGCTGGCAGCGCTCCATCCAGCCTATCTTCCCCACTGCAAGGATGGTATGTCCCTCGGCGTCCTCAAGTCCACTACACTGTATTGGACGTGATGACTCGAGGAGTCCTAGACCACTGCAGCAGAGGTGTAGAGACGCTCAAGGGACAAGTCTAAGAGCCGGCCAACTTGGAAACTCAGGTGAGTATAACTTTTTTTTTTGAGACGACACAAAAACGAGCAGTTAACCCTTGCAGTGCAGGGGTAGGCCAGAGTTCTCCTTTAAGATATTCCTGATCACCTAAATAGGGAGATCCATCAACACCTTTTCTGTACAGGCAGAGATGAATTGTGTGATATATGCATTAAAGTGCCTTCTACCCAAATCTATAAGGTGAAGATGTCCTTTAGACTTTCTGTACACTTAGATTGACACATTTGAGCAAATGGTTAATTCTCTGACTATCAATCTGTTACAGTGAAGTACACATCTTGGATGTCATCATTTCCATAAGAATCTTAAAGCTTAAATGAGAACTATGGGGTTAGGGCTTTAGGGTAACGGGAGGACATAAACTAGCGTCCTCCCGTCACCTTAAGCTCAGTATACCGCAAGGCACAGCTCGCGGTATACTGAGACGCCGCAGCTGAAGCGGATCCCGACAATTATGTTTGGATCCACCCAGCTGCGTGAGTGACAGCAGGCTCTGCCTATCTAGAGGCAGAGCCAGCTGTACCCGCCCCATCCCCCGTCCGTTCTGCCAGTTCGCTCACCTCCCGATCTACTCAGCTGGCCTGTGACAGTCTCATTATCACAGGTCGGCTAGAACTATGAGGTGAGTGAAAAGCACTCACCTCATAGTTCTCCTTTAACTGTATCTTCAACAAAAGCTAAACTGTTCAAATCAAAATGCAGAAAACAGTACATTTTCAAAGGCTTAGAGAAGAATGCTGCTCTCTGTGTGGAAGCAGTGGTACCACTGCAGCAGTCCAACACACCCTGCTAAGTCACAGCTACAGCTCTGCAATTAGCAAAGCTCATGCTTTCTGTTAATTGTTTTACTTTAGCTGTGCGGGTGGAAGGGGCGTTTCACACCAATGCAGAGAGACTGAAGCTACGGCCTGTGCTACAGACTTTGCATTGCCGCTGGACATGATTTACAAGCCAAAATGGACATAATTTCATCACTTGGAGTTTAACCGTTTCGTTTTAGTTGGAGATACAGTTGGGCTTCAGGATCAGCATTCTACACTGCAAATAACTGCATGTTCAAACATCTGTCACAAGAGGCTATCCAGTCACTGACCTGGCCCTCACGCAGCTGGTAAGAGATGAGACGCATGTTAACAGGACCTGGTCCGGTGTGAGCTACAGGAGGGTTGATGGTGACGGTGCGCTGAGGATCAGAGGACAGTGGCATCTCCAGTGGTTCAGGGGGCACAGAGAGGATCTTGTTGATGCGGACTGTTGAAGAAGTTATTCCAACCAAAGACTGATGATGAAAAAGGAAATGTCACATTACACATAAAAATGGATGAAACAAAATGAACTGAAATGGTAAATATATTAGATACAACGAAAGGCTCCTGTATGAAAGACTAATATACCAAATCCATTTACCATTAACAGGATTAACAGGTATTTGAGGGACTTTGCAGGGGGGACTAAGAGAAAACAAAGTGCAGATGCACTTATACTAGTGCAGCACATATTCATTTTAATTCATTATTAAATTAATTATTTTAATTAATCATTTAATTCCATTGTTCTATTTTAAACAAAGCTTTATACTCACTGTAAGCAATTCCATCTCTGTGATGTTCCAAAAAGTCTTCCAGAAGTTCACGTCAAGGTTCTGTGTTATCCTTTCAAATTCTGCTCCTCGAAGCTCTGGGTCAATGGCGTACCTTCCACTTATAAAAATGGAGCTGGCGGCTACACCTGCATAGGAGAACAACAAGTTGAATACCATTGAACCGCCGGCTGGTGACGCACGCTGCAATATCGGCAGTTATATCAAATCATCTGCCCCATACTATTTTACTCGAGTGCCCAGGAACAAAAAAGTGTAAGATGGTCATTGGCTGATGAGTCCAGCCGCACATTGACTGCAGCAGGCCCCAGGGTGGTCATCTTCCACCCAAACTAATGAGCTTCAGAGATTTCAGAAGAGGAATATCCAAGCTGAGTTCATGTAGATGGACAAGGATCTGCTCATGGATTGGGACCTGGCAATATGTTGCTGTCTTTGCTTGCTCTGAGCATTTTAACATTTCAGAGTTTGGTGAACTCCTTGTGACTCTAGTGTAGAGGAGTCTGCAGCCATAGAGAATATATCATTCTTACTGCTGGATTTTCAACTGGTTTCTAAAGTAAAGTGGATCCCTAAAAAAAGCACAAAATAAAACAAACGCCCCCCTCCAGTCCTGGTGTCCTTTCTCCCTCAAATGCATAAATAGTAAAAATGCCAATTATAATATTACTTTTTCTGCATAAATGGTGTTCTGGGTTTTCTCTCTAGTTCTGGTCACGTGTCCACATACCAGAGCATCGGTCCTGTGATTTCAGCTGAAAGGATGGAATGGGTTCAACCAGAGCTGCTGATTGGCTGACTTTCCCTGAATGACAGACTCCTTAGCTCTTCCAGCAGAGATCCAAGGTCCATAGACTGGCACTTGGTCAATGAGAAGCATCAGGGTGGAACGGGGTTCAACCAGAACTGCTGATTTGCTGGCTCTGCCTGAATAACAGACCCCTCAGCTCTTCCAGCAGAGATCCAAGGTCCATAGACTGGCACTTGGTCACATGACAAGCATCAGGGTGGAACGTGGTTCATCCAGAGCTGCCGATTGGCTGACTTTGCCTGAATGACAGACCCCTTAGCTCTTCCAGCAGAGATCCAAGGTCCATAGATTGGCACATGTTCACTTGACAAGCATCAGAGGGAGCGGTGTTTTCTGAAGCACATGCAAGTTATTTAACACCTATCTCACCATGTTTACATTTATTGGGGCAGGATCACTTCATGATAGCAGAATACACTAAGGACAATGGAATGAGTTGATTCGTTCGAATGGCTGCATCCATGGGCAGGATTGTAAACGTTAACAGAGAGATTGAAGAGATACACAACAACAGTGAGTGATTCCAGTGATCAGTGTTCACTCATAACTGAAATCCCACCACAGGCAATTCCCCTAATAAGCATAAAACACAGAAGGCAGGAAAAAATAATCTAGTCAGTGGTTTCTACATGGTGCACACTTACCATAGTAGGTTGCAAGAGCTCCCTCAGCTGTCAGTGAGAGCATAGTGAGGAGGAAGAGGGGAAACCATCACATAACAGCAAACATGGTATCCTCCTCTCACACATATACATGCAATGAAACCTTATATAATGATTCACACAAGTGACGTGCAGTGACACTTAACAGGAAACCCGATGCAACGAAGATCACATTTAATGTCATAGTTGGTGTTTATTTCTACTAATCAGACTCTCAGATAATCTAATGCCATATGTCCTATGTATACTCAACACCTATGCGCTGTGGCCAATGGCTGTAGGGCTCATCCCTGCTTGTGCTAAGGGGGCAATAGGCTATTGACCCAATATATTTTATGTCGCCAAAGACTTGCCTCCCCAATGGCAGTGGCCTGTGAACTCCAATGACATCTAAACCATTATATGCCAAACTACAGGTAGAAGGTTAAAAGGCACCCAGTGTCCCCACCCACAATTTTAGGTACTAATATTTGGGGGAAGTTACCCCATTTTTAATCCTCACGACAGCATTCCTATGCACAGCTGGAGTTGCATTTAAAGTAGGGATGGCTATCAGGGAACATGCTCTGCTGACAAGCCAACAAGATGGCTTCTTCTTAGGTGACACAGCATGCATCAGGGTTTGGTGTGCTATACGTGTACCTGTTGCATGCTTACAGTGGGTGACTTGTAGTACTTTCCCCATGCTTCATATTACTAGCGCCAAAAGGAACCATATTTTTGGAGCTCAACCAATCAAAATGCACAGCTTAATTGCCTTTATATGCTTGCTATATCCATCAGGTGGTTGCCCTTTTCATGGGTTGGTCATCAGGCAGCAGGGTACACGATGAGCTACTAGACTACTAGCACCATTACTTTCAATGAATGTAGCTGCCTTGGAGCTGAGATAAAGGGGGGGGGGGGGTGTCTCTTGCGGCTACCATCATTTGTCTGACTTTCTTTTTGAGGTTCACTTTCTTAACAAGTACCCCGTTTGAGTTTTATTTTATCATAGGCTTTTAAATGGTCAAAACATATATTATATATTAAATACTTTTCTAATATTAATGTTTTTGGTATACACTGTTTTGCTCTCTGACAGCTGTGGCCTGCCAGCTCCTGCTGTCAGTGTCTCTCTCTGGCTGAGTGGCAGGTTTGTGTGTCATAGTTGACATGATAATCACCGGAGGAGTCCCAAAGCTGTCACAGGACTGTAGGGTCTGAGAACCTTGGAACATGCACAGATGCACATTCCAAGCTCTTACCTGAAACATTAATTATAGCACAGGGCATAGTGTTTGACAGATTGCAGATGTCATAAAGATTGCCTGTACAATTGTGGGTCCACAGGCATCTACAGTCATGGGTCTTTCCCATAACTCAAAACTGAACCCATGCTGAGATTACAGGTGAAACTCGAATAATTAGAATATCGTGCAAAAGTAATTGCAGTAATTGCTGCAAAAGGGGCCCAAACCAAGTACTGAGTACATATGCATGCTTGTACTTTTCAGAGGTCCGATATTGTTCTATGTACAATCCTTGTTTTATTGATTGCATGTAATAATCTACTTTTTTGAGGTTGTGGATTTGGGGTTTTCATGAGCTGTAAGCCATAATCATCACAATTATGACAAATGACGGCTTGAACTATCTTGCTTTGCATGTAATGAGTCTATCTCATATATTAGTTTCACCTTTTAAGTTGCATTAGTGAAATAAATTAACTTTGCACAATATTCTAATTATTCGAGTTTCACCTGTATGTTTGCTGATACCTGCATTTAAATCAGTCCCTATGCCATTATGAAGTCTTCCTTAGACCAAAGGTCAAGGCTGTACACAGGGCCTTGACTTCTCTCTAAGTTCATATTACGGTCTGCTGTTTAAAGGTGCCATGTCTTACCCCCCATCATCTAACTGCTGTGCAATTCAAGAACTTCTAGTGCCTATTAGGGCTCTGGCAGTGGACAACTGAAAAACAGGACGCACAGCCTAAATCATGAAGGAGGGCTTAAAGGAGAACTATGAGGTGAGTGCTTTTCACTCGCCTCATAGTTCTAGCCGACCTGTGACAATGAGACTGTCACAGGTTGGCTCAGTAGATCGGGAGGTGAGCGAACACATCCCGGCGTTCGCTCACCTCTCGATCCTGTCACAGCTCTCTGCCATGACAGGGGGAGGGGCTGGATTCCACCCTCCCCGCTCTGATCCTCCAGCGCTGACTGGCGGAACGGACGGGGGAGGGGGCGGGTACAGCTGGCTCTGCCTCTAGATAGGCAGAGCCAGCTGTCCCTCACGCAGCTGGGCGGATCCCGGCACAATTGTCAGGATCCACTTCAGCTGCGGCGTCTCAGTAGCCTTGGCCTAGATATTTGCAGGCACCACAAGACAGCCGCACTGCTACCTTAGCCCTCTTTCACACGGGCATTCCGATCAGGACCCCTTGTCAGTTTTACAGGTCGGATCTGATCAGAAGCCCAGTGTTAGTCTATGGGCAGCCAGATTTAAACAGCCGTGTGTCCATTTACATATGATTACCGCCGGCTCCGTCAAGGTCCGGAAAACCAAACAGAACAGAGTTTCCTGTTGGCAAACCTGAACGTGGCGGATCAGGGATAATCTGATGTAAACGGACACATGTACGTTTACATCTGACTGCCTCATAGCCCTAACATGGGTCCGGTAAGTTTAGCTTTTTCCTCCATCTGGACGGATACAGATGTCCCAACGGTGATGCCCGTTCCGTCCGTACTTGTACTCAATACAGAAAAAACGGTATTGGTGCATCCCTAGTGAAAGCGCATTGGAGATGACAGGTTCTCTTTAAGGTGACATTAATGGTCTTTTAGACCCCTAGTGTCACTTTTCCACTTCAACAATATTAGCTGGGGAATGACAGCTGCCTGCTGAGGCAACGGAATGTAAACACAACAGGCAAAGGCTGGGAGTAATATCCAGCCTGCTACTGGCTACTTCAAATTGCAATAGCAGGCTGACTATGGCACCTGACCACTGTCAATCAGCAGGCGAGGGACCAGAAGAAGAAAATTCGGGGGGCGGCAGAGTGGGCCTTCCTCCCCGCTGGGCTCCGGCTGCAGTGGTCTGTGCCCCCTACGATCCTTGTGGCCTCTGCTAATACAGGTGGAGAGAGCAGCGGGCTCCCAGCGCCGAAGAGATTGAGGAGGGCAGAGCTGATGTGGCCGCAGGGAAGGCTGACAAAAGCCCAGGCACCATGATGCAATTTTTAGTGGTCATGACGACCTGGCATTTGTCAATCCCTGAGCTGAGTGATACACAAATAAACTACAGTTTTGTTTTCACAGGTCGGCTACAACTATGAGGTGAGTGAAAAGCACTCGCCTCATAGTTCTCCTTTAAGGTACTTGAATGCAAAACAACCCGTCGACATGAGCCCTAAGTTTTGTATAGGACATGCGCAGGCACGTCTCTGCAATCTAATGCAAGGCAGCAAAACAATGATTCTCACCACTCGAGGGCCCTTATGGAATAACATCCGTAACAGATGGAATGTATTAACAACATAACTCCTGTGCATGCAACGCATTGCAAACTTTCACAAACGTTTTTAACGGTCTTTAAAAAAAAGAGAAACTTGGAAAGATTTAAAGAGCCACAGAGAACGGTGACTCTCACCACTTACTTATCCCAGATTCATGGCGCTTGTAATTCTCCCCAAACGACACTAAACCAATGGCGATAGTCTGCAGGAACGGGCGGATGGAAGGAGTGAACTGCAAACAGAAAGCAGGTGATGGGGATTTAACACTCCGGTCACTTGAAAACAGGAACAAAGAGTAAAAATCACAACAATATTGGAATCCGGCGCAAAGGTTACTGGATAGTCAAGTGACAAAAGACGTGTCAAGGGTCATATGAATAGGATAAACCTAAGGCAACAGGTCAATATACATAAACATCTGTGATAACGGGATACTATACCTTCGTTAATCCCATCACTTTGAAAAGGAAAAGACGGCAAGTTATGATTGAAAAGTCTGTGCCCGATTATTAAAAACTCACTTTCAAAATTATATGACATCCAACTTGGGTTTAAACTCAACACGTCTGCAAGCTAGCAGATGTTTCTTATTATAGGAACAATAATTTTTCAGTTCAAAGAATAAATTGATTCGTTCAGCATGAACTTCGGGAAACACGTCACATGGCCCAATCACATTCCATGCGTCATGTTTGAAAATCTCGAAAAGAAAACAAAATGAAAGCTAACACCGACTTAACCGTTCTTTCCAACCTGAGGTAATAAATCTGGGTGCCCCCTTCCTTTGGGAAACCTGGTTCCTTAGGTGTGATAGTGGATACTCCTTTTGCCCAATATTACAACCCACATTGGGGAAGGTCTATGGCAGGGGCAACTTCGGCCCTTCAGCTGTTGTGGAGTCCCATGAGGCATTGTGAGACTGACAGGTACAGGCATGACTCCCAGAGGCAGAAGCATCATGGGATTTGCAGGTTCACCCCAGCTGGAGGGCCAGAGTTTGCCTGCCCCTGCAGCATACCATAGACCAGGGATGGGCAACACCGGCCTTCCAGCTGGGGTTAAACTACAAATCCCATGAGGCATCTGCCTCTGGGAGTCATGTCTGTGGCTGTGAGAATCTTACAATGTCGCATGGGATTTGTAGTTCCACCACAGCTGGAGGGCCGGAGTTTGCCCGCCCCTGGTATACTGGGACTAACTGGGTCTTTGATATTGAGTACTCTTACCTATATCTGAAATGTTTTATTCAAGTTTCTATTCCCAGGTAGACCGTTGACTGCAGTCTTGCTCTCCATTCACTCCGGTGGTCTAAGGTCCCCTAAATCATCACGTCCAATTCAGTATATTGGACGTGAGGACACAGAGGGATATTCCACGATGGAGCGGAGGGAGAGCAAGGCTGCGGGGACCGGTCTAGCAGTCAGCTGGGTCCAAGATTCGGGTGAGTACATCTTTGGTATGTTAGCTCCATAGACAAAACAAGTACTTAGGCCCCATTCACACCAGATCCATTTTTCAAAGGATGCCAGCGGAAGGTAACCCAAAAAATGAATGGGTGTGCTTAGGACCAGTTCACACCGCTCTGTTCCGTTACATTGAACAAAAAGCAGGACACGCAGCATTTTTTTTTCAGCGCAACGTAACGCAACACAGCGATGTGGACCAGCCCCATTCACACCCATTCATTTTTTGGTGCTATTGCGTTAGCATCCGTTAAAAAATCGATTAGGAATCCCGACTTCACTCAGATGTTTCTCTCTGGCTTCAGTAGGCTGAGACACAGACTTGGAGCAGCCAGGCAACTACCAATCTCAGCAACAGCATCTTTTGTATTTTCGACGTGTATTAATCTCAACGCAGGTTTCCTTTTTATAATGTTTTGTTAGTAACACACTCACATTCCTAATACAGTGGCATTGAGCGTGGCCATGGCCCAGTTGGAAGAGCAATAAAGGGAACAGAGTCATACAGCTGGACGTACTTCATAAAATCTGTGCTGCATCTTATCTCTGGCACTGATAACACGCTGTGATGTCATTATCACACATACCAAGAGAAGATCAAGGTTCCCTGGAAGGTCATGGGCAGCGGTAGCTCATTGCCGGGAACAGGAGAAACTCCGGTGGAAAGTAACATGACAGTATATGAAAGTCACAGCGGATAATGAAACAAGATACAAGGAAAGACAGAAGCTAACTGGGGTGCAATGTGTCCCCTCAAAATGGGTAAAACTAAAAATCAGGAACCGTATGTAAGCCACTGAATAGCGAATAGAAAAGCCAACTGAATCCTGGGTGCTACAGTCAAGACTTAATACTAGGGATGTACCTATACCATTTTTTTCGGTACTCACAGATACCGAGTACTGGGTGCCCTGATTATCAGGAAGTCGGGTGGCGAATCATGACCCAACCGGCTTCCTGATTGCCCGGGAAGCCGGTGTTCTTTTGAAACAACACCGGCTTCACTTGCCGAGGCTGCCTGGCTTCCCGACTAATCAGGAACCTGGCCGGTGAGTCATGAGGTGCCATCCGGCTTCATGATTGGTCAGGAAGCCAGGGTGCCTAGCATCAAGTGAAATTGGGTTCCTAGCCAATCAGGAACACAGGCGGCACGTCATGACCCGCCTCCCAGCTTAGCTAGGAAGCCGACTTCACTTGTTCCTAGGCAGCCTGGCTTCCTGACCAATCAGGAAGCCGGGAGGCAGGTCATTACGTACCGCCCAGCTTCCCGATTGGTTAGGATGCCAGGCTGCCTAGCAGCAAGTGAAGCCGGCTTCCTAGCCACTCAGGAAGTCGGGCAGCACGTCATGGCCCGCCTTCCAGCTTCCTGGAAAGAAAGCCGGCTCCAAGCTCCCTCGGCACTGAGAGTACGAATACTCGCCCAAATACTCGGTATCGGCACCGATAGCTATACTTGTATCGGTACATCCCTACTTAATAATGCCCATGAAAATTTTGTAAAGCTGCCCTCAAGTGTTTCCAAATCAGAGAATCCTGGATATGTAGTGGGAAGCGCCTGGTGGAAACCAGTAATCTTGCTTGGAAGTTTACTTCGAAGCTTATTTGTACAGAAATGACATATCCAACCAACCAACGTGTTTCTGTTCAAATAAACGGTTAACATGAACTTCCAAGCGAGATGACCATTTTCTACTAGGCTCTCCTACCCACATATCCAGGACTTGATCTTCTGATGCATGACCCCCTTCCCCATTAAAGCCAGAAAGGCAGCAGTAGAAGACCTTAACCAGGCCTACACACACCTTCTGGTATCACAGGATTACCTCCTTCAAGGAGCACATTCTCTCTTTTTTGAATCTACATCAAAACCAATTCTGATCCCTACTGGCCCAGCACTATCACAAACCTATCAGTTCAAAAATCAGGATCAGAATTGTAAAATTGAAAAAAACAAGGCGCAAGACCTCACCTGAAACCCCATACAGCGTCCATAGAAGCAGCCTTTGTGCATGGTGCTGTACTCGTGCAGAAACTCTTCGGACAGGCCTCGCTCTTGCCGGAAGAAGAGATCCCCATGGCTGTTGGCGGTAAGCAGCCGCTGTGCGAAACAGAGCAGGGCTCGGAGCTGAGTGAGAGCGGCACCATACGCTTCTAGCTCTGCGCAGTTGTGGGCTGCTCGGAAGAAGAGGCTGTGGCGGCTGGATGTGATGTAGCGGCACTTGTGCAGGATGTGCTGGGTGCAGGCAAGTACCACCTTCAGTAGGCTTCGGTATCCATTGGCTGGAGTGTCGGGGTCCAAGTCAAAAAGCGGGCAAACCGCAGCCAGGGCGCGTATGGACGGTTCAGCTCCATATGCCTGTTCTTGGATCCGGGTGAAGGCTTGCACCAGACGGGAGCCCACCTCGGATTTGGACTCTCCAAAGTGTTTAATGTTATCCTGGCACAGGGCATCCACGGCCTGGAACAGGGGCCGGGGGTCCATCTGCTCGAGAGGCACGAGCACCACGCCTGAAATGAGAAAATAAAAACATGAAATCTCATTATCTGATGCCATCGGAAATACGTTCCAAAAAGCAGTTATCCAGCTACAGGGGAAATCCACTATTGCCTATTAAAGGTGAATGTCTGGGCAAAACATTCAGCACATGCAAGTCTCACCATATTTTGTTCCTTCAAAAATGCTACAGGTATAGAAAAATAACCGTCTACCTGCCAAAAATTCAGTGTGCCCTTAACTTTATGTTTGATCTGACAAAACAGTACCCTAGAGGCAGAATTGTCAGCTCAAACAGGAAGTTAGGAGCTCACTGGATTTCTGGCAGGATCAACCGGTACCTATCTGTACTTGCATCATTTATAAAAGGACAAAATAAGAGAAAAAATATGTTTATTGTAGAGATTTACTGAACATAAATATTTTTTATTGTGCCCTGAAATACATTTTAGGTATATAAACATCTCCATTTGGAGGGGGATGAAGAACAATTGGGGGTGTTGCCTTGGTAATTCTTGATGTAAAGGGATTGGCCAAGTCTTAGAGGGGTGACTCCAATTTTTCATCAGCTGAAGAGGACAAAGATTTTCTACCTTACTGCGAAAAGTGAAAAACACATTTTGGCTTAATGTATGCGACACATCTCATACACGTATTGAAACAGAGACATTAGGCCCGCAAGCTTGCTGTTCAGACTACTGGTACAACTGTAGGCCAAACATGTTTCCCAGGTGGCATATGCAGATTTATTTGTATGAGTTACGGTAAGTGAATGGGAAATAAACTGTGTGTATGAATCCAGGCTGGACATGTCCCAGGAGCCAGGATGCCAAAAAGACCTTCAAGATGACAGCTGCCACCCATAGACATGAGATGGCAGTACGTTGGTCCAGCTCTATCAATCGCAGGTACTCTAAAGTCACCATGTACAATGCAGGACCACCAGCCCTGCATTGGAAGTGATGACACCCAAAGCCTGCCCATAACCATGAACATTGGAAAGAAGAGATTTTGTTTGGTCTTTGAAGTCTTTTCAGCTAAAAAAACTATTTTTCCCATTTCCTAGCACTTTTTGTGTGTACACTTCCTGTGGAGCATGTGAAGAACGCTGTACACTATTTTCTCACTCTTGGCACCTGCAAAATACTGCTAATGAAGCAAAGTGCGGGGGAAAGTAACTACGGCATGCAGACGGGGAGCTACAACATCAGGGGCCACCCAATGGCCCAAGAAAGAAAACGTTGGTTCGGATGAAGTGAATGAGAAGATGGCAGCGGTGATGGAGAGTGCAGAGTTGTCATCAATGGAGGAGAGAAAAGTTGGATGAAAAGATGCCCACACACCTTTCGAATATCGGGCGATTTTCGTATGCGATCGTGTTTTCATCCGATATTCGTAAGGTTGATGGGCAGTGCACAACCGCAAACACTGTACAATCAATCGACTTTTGACAAACCAGCAGGTTAGAAAACTTCGGTCGAACGTACGAGTGTCGCAAGGTTGGTGGTGTTTCTGTACGTCAAAATTTGTACGATTTACACTGCACATGCGCAGACGGAAATACGTGCGGTTCGATTACCGCAATTTGTCCAGGTGCTTTCTTCTAATTACCGCTGATCCAACCTTGCGATAATCAGGGCAGGATGGGGCCGCCGTACGAAAATCATTACATCATCGGACGAAAAGGGTTGTCGGGTGATCGCGAGGTGTATGGGCAGCCTAAGTCTCTGAAGTATACTGTGCAGGCTTGCCAATTATGGCAAGTACTCTGGACCACTCACTTTCCCCACCAAGCACAATTTAGCTTTGCTTTAATAAAAGCAGGGTTAAAAAGGGTGCACCGATTCTGTACTCTGTGCCTGAAATAAATATGGAAAGTCCCTGCAAAGAAGATAGGCAATACTCACTTCTCTCGTGGCCCATGCCACCAATTTCTGCTCTCATGAAGAGGAACTACCGACCAAAGAATCTTCAGAATCCAACACTTCTGCTGCTATTGCTTTGATCTGTCAGCCTTTACGTCACTATTATATCTTGTAGTGAAATAAGGGCTGACGGGAGCAAACAGAGCACAGTGGGGACCAGGAATTCGACATCTGGCTGGTCATCATGGGATAGCGTAACTCCCACGCATGCACAATGTGCACACGTGCAGCTCAGTGTGCAATGTAAGGGTTCAGGTGCCTTGGGGCGGCATTGGCAGCCTTGCCCAACGCAGTCCCAACGCAAAGACAAGGCAATTTGCCTTCCTTTCAGTTGGCTCAGTTCCCACCACCACACTACAGTAGTGTGCCCAGAAAAAGTGTACTGCATGCAATACTTTTTTTTCAGGGCAGTACGGTGTGACTCAATATAACCGCATGGCAGCGAGAACTAAATAAATGTCCCTGACATGTCTCGGACATTTCCATAAAGCTCTAAGAAAGAAGCGCGTCAGCACTGCTCCCTCTCAACGCTCACCAGCGGCCATGCGTTTAGCACCACAGGCTGGTGTGAACCAGCCCTAATGAATATAGCATGTAGGAAGGTAAAAAGCCTTTATTGCAGATGATACATACAGCAGTATGCTTCTCCTGTAATAAAACACCTGATTTCATTCCATAGAGGAACTCTGAGAACCATAAAGGGGCACCACGCTCCTGAAGATTCCAAAGTATTAAAACTAAAGTCAATGGAGTTTTATCTGAGCCAGTGACACAACGCCGTGAATTGTTCTCCTAAAAACGTGATTCACATTAAAAACAGTACGTATACAAAAATCATTCCTAAAAAAATGTCTTTGCTTATTATAAGGAAAGTACACTAAAAACCTCCATAGAGCACACCCTCACATGATTACAGATCAGTTCACATTTAAGTATGATCAACACAACTGCTGTCATATGTACATCACATGTATACCCGATTTCTCCTGAGGGTGGTTCACCCTTTCCAAGCGTTTCGTGCTCACCGCGCTACCTCAGGAAAGAAATAGAGGGAGGTCATGTAAAAAGCAACACAAAAAAAGTGTGTTTTTGAGGAGGAGAGGCAGGCTCCGGGACTCGCATGTCAGGACAAATCCCCACCCTGGACAGGCAACCCAATATTGGGAAGACTAGTTGGAGATACAAATATATAACAAGCCCTCGCAATCAAGGCAATACCAAGGTAAGATATATACAGAGTCAAGTCTGGTATGCAAGAAGCTCCCGAAGAGAATATAATACCAATCTACGTGCCAAAGGAACCGTTGTACCCCAATGCCCCCATCGCCGCCAACCACAAGGCCACCCATCCAATAAAATACCTTCCTGCTCGCATCTTTTTTGTTTTAAGGCCATGGCTCTACTTTACCTGTCTTCTTTGCAGGGAGGACTTTATTGTAGAGAGAAATTATTTAATCGCAGTAAATAGTGAAGGGAAAATTGGAGTACTATTCCGGAAGCCTGTAAGTCTGGTCTGGTAGCCGATTGGTGCTTTTTAGAAGTTGGAGAACATTCATCTACTGACAAAAAAGTTGCTGGGTAACATTGTTCAGCCACATTGACTACATAGGTCCGCTGAACATACAATAGACAGAAGGCACGCTTATCTTTCCTCCCATCTATATTACAAAAATCAACAGCTCCAGACTTGACACATGAAGTCATGCAGTAATAAAAAGAGGTGACGGGCCTGATCCCCCTCCCCGGATCAGCCATTGCAAATATGTAGAGTGAAGCAAATCACTCCAATCCTCCCCCAACACATCTGGAGAGCAGCTGCTTGGCTTTCCAAATCTCTTTATCTGCTTTACAACTTTGGTAACTGCTGAGAACACAGTATGAGAAAAGTGTCACGAGAGAGGAAAGGTCACCGGGAACAGGCGAGAAAGAGCGACATGGGACAGCGGACGGGCAAGAAGAGAAATCAGAGCCGTTTAGATCCAGTATAGACCTAGGAAAGGACTCAAGAGAAGAAATGGATGAAGGACTTTCGGATATCCTTCTCTCCTACCTGAAGTGACAGTTGTCCCCTCGTTTCCAGTTAGTAGGACTTTGCTTGTTCAGATTGTTCCATCTCAATGTCCCATCAGACTCCTCCTGCACAGCTATAAACCTGCCGGAGGAGGGCACAGCAGCCGGAGCCAGCCCATCGGGAAAGTGACAGCTCCAGAGGATGATGCCCTGTTTATCATCATTGCTTGGCAACGTCCTATTGGACTTGGCCGGGCTCAGAAGTCACTGCTTTCACTTTTTGCACAGTTTCTACTTGGAATGCATCTCATGTCTTCTATTTAAAGTGGAACTCCTGTTTATTTTTTTCTCGGTGGGTCCCCCATTCAACCTCTTACCCATAAAAGAAATAACAAATGCCCAATTTGTACTAATTCCACACTCCAGCGATGTCCCAGATGGTCCTCTTCAGGACAGATAGACACTTATCATTTTGCTCTTTTCCTGAGAGCCCAGTCTGTGATTTACATGACACTTTGGGGGGGTCATCATTGGGATGGGCTCACAGTTCTCCAGGGTTGAGGGGCGTTCACACATCGGTACGTGAGCGTTGCTCAGTCCTGGAATGATACTCACTCCCTACCTCCGTCACCAAGGGGTTTGGAGAAATTCCCTTCTTTCCCCTCTATCACAATTCTTTCCCATGCGTTGCTTTTCTCAGACATCTTCCTCATGCTTTGCCCTTCCATCCACCTTTCCAAATTTGCGTAGTTTGATACCCATTACTGTACATACAGAGCCCTTGAGATGCGTAAAATAACTGCAAGTCATGAACACTGCAGCTCACAGCAACCTGAGGAAAGAAGCAGTAGATGCTTGGAAGCTGTGAAGACTTATAACCCCAATGTTAAAACTAGGGGTGCACAGATACCGTTTTTTCGGTATCGAGTACCGATATTTTTTTTTCCGGTACTCGCCAATACCGATGTGCCCATGTGCCCCGATTATCAAGAAGTCGGGCAGCGGATTGCCTGTGAAGTCGGTGTTCTAGCGAAAGAACACTGGCTTCACTTGCTGAGGCTGCCTGGCTTCCTGACCAA